TAGTAGAGGTGTTGGCCTTCCAAAGCTGTAGGTTCTCTGCTTAGGCCTGCAACCTCAGGACTCTGCCCACCATAGATCATTGGGGACAGGCTCTTTTTTTAAAATTCACTTGTGGAACGTGGGCATCACTGGCTGGGCCAGCATTTATTGCCTGTTCCTACTTTTCCATTTATCTCCAATGAAGAATGTTTTCAAGGTGGGAAGATGCTCCAAAAATTATAACGGCAATGGTGGTTGAATGTGGGACAGTAGCTGTTCAACTAACTTTTGGAAAACGACATTCAATTTGGTTTATTGAAAATCCCAATGTTATTCCCCCATCCCCCTTTTTTGGATTAAAAATCCACTAAAACCCCCACTACAAATGTGACCAATCAGAATGCATCATCTTTAAAACTCACAATTTCACAGGGGGCATTTCACAGCCCAGAAACACAGGACCTAATTTGTGTATTCAAAATTTGAAATCCCCTTCAAGTTTTCATGTCCTTAAATAACCTGTCACAACATAGAACATTCCAGGGTGCTTGAGAACCAATGACGTACATTTGGAAGTGCTGTCACTATATAAAGTAAGAGAGTAGTAAGGGCGTGGAATGCCCTGCCTGCAAAAATAGTAGACTCGCCCACTTTAAGGGCATTTAAATGGTCATTGGATAAACATATGGATGATAATGGAATAGTTTAGGTTAGATGGGCTTCAGATTGGTTTCACAGGTTGGCGCAACATCGAGGGCTGAAGGGCCTGTACTGCGCTGTAATGTTCTATGTTCTATGTTCTATGAGGTAATAATCTATTCAAGTGATGCTGATTGAGGGATAAATGTTGCTCAGGATACCAAGAGAACTGTCCTCTTCTTGAAATAGTGCACTTGAAAGGGTATCTGGGGCTTTGGTGTAACACTCGTCTGAAAGGTGGTAGCTCAACACTGCTGCAAGGTGTCAGCCAAGATTATTTCCAATTTACATTTTCTTTTTCTTCACAAGTACAGGAATGACTACACTTAAAGCATAAATTATATGTAATTGCTTTGTGTCATAGGTTTATAATCTGGGCTGTTCTTGACTTTGCATTTTATAAGGGGATTAGTCAAGAACACAAGAAATAGGAGCAGAAGTAGGCCATTTGACCCTTCAAGCCTGCTGCACCATTCAATAGGATCATAGCTGATTTGATTGTGGCCTCCACCTACCTGTTTGCCCCCCTTAACTTCCTTGTCAACCAAAAATCTATCCAACTGTTAAATATATTTAATGACACAGCCACTACTGTGGAAAAGCCATTCTCTGCGGAATAGAATTCCACAAATGATCTTCTGTAAAAAATATGATCTGATCTCAATTTTAAATGGAAGAATCCTCATTTTTAAAAACCAAAAGAACTGAGGATGCTGTAAATCAGATACAAAAACAGAAACTGCTGGAAAAGCTCAGCAGGTCTGGCAGCATCTGTGAAGAGAAATCAGAGTTAACGTTTTGGGTCCATTGACAGTTCGGAGGAAGGGTCACCAGACCCAAAATGTTAACTCTGATTTCTCTTCACAGATGCTGCCGGACCTGTTGACTTTTTCTAGCAACTTCTGTTTTTGTTCCTCATTTTTAAACTGTGTCCACTAGTTCTAGACTCCCCTGAGAGGGGGAAACATCCTTTCAGCATCCACCCTGTCAATAGTTAGCTCAGTTGGCTGGATGGCAGGTTTGTGATACAGAGTTATGATAACAGCTTAGGTTCAATCCCCACACTGGCTGCAGATATCAAGGACACTCCTTTGCAACATCTCCCCTCGCCCTGGGTGTGGTGACCCTCAGGTTAAACCACCACTAGTTGTCCCTCTCTAATAAGAGTGTGGTACTATGGCAACTTTACTTTCTGACTTACCTATGTCATCAGTAAATTTAGTAACCATGCACTCAGTCCTTTCAACCAAATGGTATAGATTATAAATAGTTGAGGGCCCCCACTTATCCCTGTAGCACTCCACTAATCATTGCTTATCAACCTGAAAATAAGCCATTTCTGCTTCCTATTTGCTAATCAATCTCTCTCGACTTTGCTCAGGAGAGTGCAGCCAAAGCCAAGTTGGAAGCACCACAAGCTCAGGTGTATTTGGGGGGAGAGCGAGAAAAAGAGATGGAAGAGCAATAGTGAGAGGGGATGCCACTGTTAAGGAATCAGACTGGAGTTTCTGCAGTTATTGAAGTGACTACAGGACAGTATGTTGCCTCCCTAGTGCCAAAGTAAATGGATGTTACAGAGAAACTGTAGGGGAGGGTGAGGTCATGCCCACATTGACATCAATGGCTTATGTAGGAATAGGGATGAGGTCCTGAAAGCAGATTTCAAGGAGCTATGTAAGAGACTGAAGGGCAGGTAGTCTCAGGATTGCGTCCAGTCACTTCTGCCAATGATCTTACAAATAGGAGAATTAAATGGGATTAGATTACACAGTTAGTTTACTCAGCTAGCGAAGACATGCTGAGCTGAATGTCCCCTTTCTGTGTTGTAATGTTTCTATGTAAGCACCAGAGACCCAGGTTTGATTCCAGCTTTGGGTGACTGTGTGGAGTTTGCACGTTCTTCCCATGTCTGTGTGGGTTTCCACCATGTGCTCCAGTTTCCTCCCACAGTCCAAAGATGTGCAGGTTAGATGGATTGGCCAGGCTAAATTGTCCATAGTGTCCAGGGATGTGCAGGCTAGATGGGTTAGCCATTCGGCCTATTGAGTCATGCTCCACTAGATCCTGATAAATCCTGAACTCCACTTTCATGCCTTTTCCCCATTACCCTTGATTCTCTTACTGATTAAAAATTTGTCTATTTCAGCCATGAATCTACTTGACAAACCAGCTTCTACTGCTATTTGTAGTAAAGAATTCCACTAGATTCACTACCCTCTGGCTAGTTGTGGTGGTGCAGTGGCTATGTTGCCAAGTAAGCAAACCTTGAGCTCTGGGTTCAAATTCTGGTGCAAAATCCAATCTGGGGATTAAATAAGATAATTAGGAAGGTGCCTTGGCTTAATGAGTTAAAGTGTCTGTCTTGTAACCAGGAGATTCGGAGTTTGAATTTCCGTGGTACTTTTCAGCCCAAAGGGCCTTTAAATTAACCTCTGAGCCAGGAGGCCTGAGTTCAAGTCTCACCTGCTCCAGCTGTGAGTAATGGCATCTTTGAACAGGTTGATTAGAACAAAAATATTATTAAAAACCCTCAAAGAAGAAATTCCTCCTAATTTCTATCTTAAAAGCATGATTCATTACTCTGACATTACACCCTCTGGATCTAGACTCTTCCACAAAAGGAAATAACCTTCCTATATCTACCCTGTCAAACTTCCCTAAGAATCTTGTATGTTTCAATAAGATTATTTTTCATGTGTCTTAATTCCAATGAATGCTGACCTAACCTACTCAACTCTGCTTATAAGAAAATCCCCCCCATGCCTGGGATCAGTCTAGTGTACCTTCTCTGTCTCCAATGTTAGTATATCATTTTCCACATAATCCACTTTTTTGTTACTTGAAAGAATTCTGATAAATTAGTCAAAACATTGATGAGCTATAAGTTGACATGTTTGTTTTAGCCAAGTCCAAAATGAGTTTCAGTATTTGAAAGATGGATACAGTTGTGAAATAGTCTACATGCAATAACGAACTGCCCTTTCATTCAAACATAAAACAGAAATTGAAGAAACTCAGCAGGTCTGGCAGCATCTGTGGAAAGAAAACAGAGCTAATGTTTTGAGTCCGGTGTGACTTCTTCAGCCCTTTCATTCATCCATCTATCAAATGCCCCAATTTATGACACATTATGTGTAATACTTTTACACTTGTAACTTTCTACACGTACGCATACTGTTTTGTTAAAATTCAACTTTGTATAACACCAGAGGTAGTAGGTGAAGGGTCATTTCCTGAAGAAGGGTCTAGACCCGAAACGTCAGCTTTGCTGCTTGGCCTGCTGTGTTTATCCAGCTCTACACCTTGTTATCTTTGTATAACACCAAGCAGCTTTAAAACCGTGCCTAGTATTGCGAACTCTGGTTGTACATATTGCTGAGTATTACCACGTGAAACTTGTCCCCAAGTAACTTCCATAAACTGCATTTTTGACTCATTCTCTCCCCTCTCCAATAATAATTGAAAATGTTCACATTTTTTAAGCTATGTTTTATTCCAAGCAGCAGCAAACCGACGATTCATCTTTAATTCCTGGAGATCTGGCAACAATAATAATACCCTACCATGAACCATGCTGAGGAGCAAAAATACGGGGGTTAGAGAAACGGAGAAAATGAAGTAACTTTCCTATCATTGTACCTCAAAACCGAAATTCAATTGCAAAGTGTCGCAAATTAACGATAAGAAGATTCTGCGACCTTCTTTTACCACTTCCCTCGCTCGTTATGTTCTTCCTGGATCTAGTTTCGACTTTTACTTTGGTTGCGGAACCGAGCAGCACCCGTAGATGACTGGAAACCCCGCCTCCAGAGGTCAGTGATTGGGTGCAACGTTTGTCCATCAGACTAATGCAGTTGCAGTGGATTGTGGGAAATAGGCTTTGTTGTGACGCTTTTGTGAGTTTTGTTTTAATGGTAGTTGGTTATGTTTTTGTGTTTAATGTGATACGATAAATGGTAAAAAGGAAGTGCTGGTAGGTTCAATATCAGTGCGTGATAAGTTGGCCATGTAACTAGAATTTAATACGAGGTAACAGGAAAAAGCAATCAGCGATGCTGGCTGGGCCTGGCTGACGTTTTTCCTCAAACCTTTGCCTTAACCATCGTCTGTGGCTGCTGAATCTCGTCGAAATGACAGCCGGGCGATAATTGTTTGAGATTATGAATGAAAAAAAAAATGGAAAACAGCACAAATTACAGCAAATTAACTAAGTCAACTTTCGCGCGAAAGAGACTGCCTTTCATCTGCGCCAATCCTATGTGAAATACTAGAATGGCTAGAAGACTTAATAAAAACGTTGGAGATCAGTGAAAAGTTTGATCTACTAAGTTAAAGTTTATTGTATCTTTTACATTGTTGGTTCCCCTTTTCTTTCCCCATGGTATGTGTTACTCGTGAATCCGCTTTTAGGAAATGCATAAAATAGCTTAGAGGTAGTAAGAACTGCCGATGCTGAAGGAACACAGCAGGCCAGGCAGCATCAGAGGAGCAGGAAAGCTGACGTTTCGGGTCGGGACCCTTCAGAAAATACTCTTCTGATACTGCCTGGCCTGTTGTGTTCCTCCAGCTCCACATTGTGTTATCTCGTAAAATAGCTTAGTTTGCTGCACACGCTATTTTGTGACTTATTGATTTTTGGGTTTATATGTTCTTCCTAATACCATGCCATGAATTATTATTTGATTCATTCTACATAAACACTTTACAACATCAGGAATGTGGGGTCCTGGATACCATTTAATTTATGACATTCCATTCCACAAAACCTGTCCTCAACTTGGCCTTTGTGTTGCCTACCATAAAGTTTCATTTGGAATGTGAAAATTTCAAGTAGACAGGAGTTTCAGCTTCAGGGAGTTTCCTTTAATCTGTTTTTTCTTTGGGCATCTAGTCCGTGCATTGCAGTATTGATGAAAATTTTATTAAGAGAAGGTATTGGTAAATGCATTGGGATGGCATTAAGTTCTTATTGCTTTAGTTGCAATTTTAGTAATGGGCATTTGGGAAAGAGAGAACAACCCCTTCTAAATCAGTGTAATGTCATCTCAACCACCGGTTTTATGTCCTACTGTGAGACTTGAATTTCCAGTAACTTTTATGTTGTTGATCGTCTACCTGTTGCATTAAAAAGAGAAACATTGGTCAGGATTCCCACTGCTGCTTACTATCCAATTACAACTGCTGGAAGTAGGCATGTTTGTTGCAGACAATGGTTATGATGCCCTGCAGAATTAAATTGCTTGCCAGCATTTACTATCCCAAAAGGGTTGTGTCCACTTGGAGTAGGGGCCATCTGGTGCCCAGCAAAGGATCAATGTCTTTTCAAAAAGATATTACAGAATTTGTGTTTTACCATAAGTTGGAGAAATCCTCATCATTTAGTTTGGAAAAGTGCTTCCACCAAGATGGGTTGGATATGACTAATTAAAAATAGGTGATAATTTTGAATGACTTTGATGTTTTCTTTGCATCATTTGTAGCTTTGATGTTGTCATAAATAAATGGAAGATTGGACTTTAGGAATCAATGGTAAGTGTGAGTCAAATGTTTTGTGTGTTGTCTTTAGTTTAATAATTGGATAACAGTGCTGGAGTCATTACAAAAAGGCAGGTTATTGTGTACTCCAATTACATTGATATTTGAGGATTGGTTGAATCCCAACCTGCCTTGTGCTTGAGGCACTTGGCCTATTATTTTATGTTGTACACCATTGGAGTTTGGAAGGGGTTTTGTGATTTTATTCTAATTTTATTCCGTGCATTTTCATTGTGGACTTCAGGCTTCCGTATTCTGCGGTATAATTGTGCATTAATTTAGAATTTTGTAGAACGTTTTCTGCATATTGCAGGGTAGCTAGCAACCACTTATGTTCATGTAAGACTTTTTTAAATGCCTCCAGCTCCCCGGTAGAGGCGTGACTAGTGTAATCTTCATATGGTGTGTACATAATGTAGTAATAGAGGGGACAGGATGTTTTCAATTGGGGCAATAAACTGGAAGTAATATTTGTTTTTGCATACATGTTTTGGTTAATATGCATTTGAATAACTGCTGTCTAGATTCAAATATATTTCTCTTCCATGTACCTCTATTCTTTTTATCCCTAGAATAAACCATGAATTTTGATGGCCTTGATTCTGGCCTGGGGGAATATTCATCATCCCTGCATCCTGGCATTGACCCTTCCCTCGACAATTCAATTGAGCATTCCCTGGACCCAAGGCTTGACCCAAACTTACTGCAGAATGTGGAACTGGAAGCTGATGGTGTCCAGCTGGATGGCATGCCAGTCTCAGTATCTGAATCTGTACACCTTGTGGAGGGAATGTATTCAGCACTGCATAGGGTTGTCGCAGAAGTCGGAGTCCCTGTAACCGCCTCACATTTTGACCTTCAAGATGAATTGCTCTGGGTGGGAAATCATGGGGTAAGTGTAGTACATTAACTTCCAACCAAGTAAGCTAATGGGTCTCAATTCTAGTATAGAAGCCTTTGGATATACCAGTGGATAAGTAATTGGCATGTTGTACTTGTACAGCTTACAGGTCTCTTGATATAGCTGGGATGATGATCTGTTGATGAGTCCTAACCCACTGATGTTGCAACTTGACTTGTAAAATTTGACAGTATAATGAAAAGGTTGAGTTTGAAGTTAGTTGTTAGGTGTTTCTGTTTAATATACTCAGTATGATCAGACATAGACCTATTTTTCTAATCAACCTGTTCAGAGATGTTATTACACATCTCTGGAACAGCTGAGACTTTGAACCCTGCCTCTTGGTTCAGGGAAAGGAGTACTGCCACTGCACCACAAGAGGACCCTTATGATCAGACATAGATTTTGTAGTGCTAAATTATTTTCACCTGTTTGGAGCCTGGAGTTTCTCTTTTTTAAGTTAATGATTTATGCAGTTGAGTCTAAGCAAACAGTACTGACCATTTTCCAAATATAACATAGTAACATAGGCATGCAGAATTCTTTAAAAAAAAGCTGTTGCATTTTGAATGCTCATAATTGTGCTGATGGTTGATGTGGGATTAGCATTTGTCAGCTTTCCAGGATTCTGCAGTGTTGATGCAAAAACGGCTCCTGGAGGATTGCTAGAAAATCTGCTTTTCTTTCACACTCTCCCTTACCTTATGAAGAAATCCCAAAAGCCTACCTGGCTGGTCCTATCAGCTCGGGTGAGATGAAGAAGTTTTCACTTCTGCTCGGGTGACTTTCAAATCCACAAGCTATCAGTCACGGAGAAATATGTTGATTCAGTGTCATTCCACACTGTATAGTTTTGCTGCATATGTTGTCATAAATAAATGGAAAATTGGACTTTAGGAATCAATGGTAAGTGTAAGTCAAATGTTTTGTTGTTGCATTCTTTTGCTGTTAAATTAACACAATACACAATAAACGTTTGAAAAGTCTGCTTTATTAATTTTTTTAAAAATCGGTTCATGTTGGTTGATAAGTCTTTTAAAAAACTTCCATAGAGCTGTCTAAGCATGTTGTGTTTTTAATGTTGAGTGCTTAATTTTGATGTAAACCTGCAAGGTGTTAACTTAATCATTATACACATAGCAGATCTGAAGGGTGATCCTGCATGTGGTGAACAGACCTCTTTTTCCTTCACAGATGCTGCCAGATCTGCTGAGCTTTTCCAGCAACTTTGTTTTTGCTTCCAATTTACCTGTAATTTTTAATCGTTAAATTGTGTTTCGGAAATAGAATTCTAAATCCTATTGCATCGTCATTAGTAAAACAAAACAGTGGTTTTTGATAAATAGTTGGTTTATGCTTGTTGTTGCTCTTGCTGTGCAATATTTTCAGAATAATCAAGCTTGCTTTGGATTGGTGTGGTGTTTGGCTCCTTTGTCTTCAGAAGAGTGTTACTAAATTTGTCTTTGAAATTTTTCTGTCTAGGGCCATGCAACCTCCTTCTTTGGTCCCACTATGGAACGCTACTCATCCTTTCAAGTTAACGCCACTGATGACATACGTCACATCCAAAGCATAGACAGTGGAGTGCTCTTTTTAAATAAGAATAACCTCAAGTGCTTTACTCGAGGAGGACTTATAATGTTTGATTATGCGTAAGTTTTTTTTAAGTTTAGACCCTGTAACTTAAAGGCAAGACATTCAAAGTAGATGAATAGCAGAGTTGAAGAGGTAAAGAGTCTTGGAATTCTTTTTCCCCTTCCTGTTTGGAATGTGAGCATTGCTGGTAGTGCCAGCATTTAACGCCCATCCCTAATTAAACATGAGAAGATGGTGGTGATTTGCGTTATTGAATCACTGCAGTCCACATGACAGAGGTACTTTCAGAGTAAGAGAATGCGTTCCCATTCATTTGCTGCTGTTCTTCTAGGTGGTAGAATTTGCAGGTTTGGAAGGTGCTGTTGAAGGAACCTTGTTGAGTTGGTTTGGTGCATCTTGAAGATAGTACATGTTGTCACTGTGCATGGGTGGGTGAGGGATTGAATGATTACATTTAGCAGATGGGGTAACCGAACAAGTGGATTACTTTGTCTTGGATGATGTCGAACATCATGGGTGTGTTTGGAACTATGTTCATCCAGACAGGTGGGAAGTACTCCATCACTGTCCTGATTTGTGCCTTGTAGACGGTGGACAGGTTTTACGCAGTCAGGAGGTGAGTTAGCCACTGCAGAATTCCAAAACTCTGACCTTGTGTTGTGGGTGCAATATTCATATGGTTAAGTTGTTATATTGATACACCTACAGTTTTATTCCGCTCTTTCTCTCTTCCCCGGACCCCCAATTTTCACCCTTTTTGTGATGAAATTGATTGGGCTGTATGCTTCCACAATGCTGAGACGCCATCTGTAACTCACTGGATTGGCTGTTCTTGTGTCACTTCAACTGTTGCTTCACCCAGTGTCACTATCTGGTTAGTTGTACATATTGATGTTTAGTGAGAATCTGGCTGGACTTGGCCGGAGGGTTTCTCTTCGCCACCAGTTGAAGTATGTGACTTTAGTCAGTGTTATAGGTTATGTGAGGGATAGCAACTTTGCAGGATCTCAGGAGGGCTGTTGCAACTTTTGGAATTGCACTTCAGAATGGGGCAGCACTTTCTGAAGAAAGAAAAATGGAAGAGAAAGATTGTGTTTTGGGAATTCTGGTCTGTCATGCTAATTCTTCTACGTGATGGCATTTGACTAGGCTATGGAGGGACCCTCTCATTTTATACTATCCATGCAATTCAAATGCTTATAAGTTTGAAAATTATGACAAGTTACTTTTAGATAACCCTTAGATAACTGAGAGGTAAATGCTTCCTGGGTCCCTTTGTGGATTTGGTTTACATGATTTCCACTCAAATACATATAATATGAACATAGCAGTTAATCTACTTAAAAGTCAGAAATAGATTTATCATTATAATAGTTGCACTAAATTAGTCACCTAAAGAACAAATCTTAGATCAAACATTTAATTCTATTGTCCTCTGGCTTTTTAAACTTATTTTAACTTTTATTTTGCTTTTCCTTAATATGCTGTTGTTGATTTTAATCTTCATTTTCTGTTTGAGGTTTTTAAAAAATTTATTTCAATCCTAAATTTTGGAAGTTTGTGCAACTTAAAAGAAAAATGTGTTATTTGAATGAGAAACTCCAAAGACTCAGAATTGGTCATCCGGCACAGAGTTAAAATCACTTTCCTGGACTGTCATCTTTTCTCTTAAATATATACATAAGAATAATGACTTAAATGTCCTGGTGAAGGAGCAGGATAGTTTTTAAAATGTTTTTCTTTCGAATGGATATTGAACATGAGTTGAATCTGCAGTACATGTGAGCTGTTGGATTCAAGATTGTTTGGTCTGCCAAGTAGCAAAGCTCCCCATTCTGCCACAGATATTGGATGTCTCCTGTATATCCTCAGATCAAGTAAACTTGTAATTTTGAGGGTTACAATATTGTATTGAATGATGTGGGAACAGTGACAGAGCATTCTATACATTTCTGACTTTATATGTGCTCACCTTCAGCCCTATGAAAGATTGGAGTCACTTTGTGCCATCGTTTTAGTGGAAAAATTCAATTCAATTGAGATAGCAGTTAATTTAGAATGAAACATTATTAAATCGGACATTGTACCTAAATAGTAAGGGTGATATAGAGTTTTGAATTTTCTTACTTTATCGAAGCAACAAATAATGTTTTATCCAATGTGTGCTGGCACAGTGCTAAACATGAATGTGTAGTCTTTGACTGTGTTCCTTATTATTGTCTATGCAATTACTCACACTGCATTTTTTAAATTTCTAGTATGGATGAAGTTGAGGACATGCACAGTCTTCTTCTCACTGACAACAACTCTGTTCTCTTGGGGGGCCTTCAGAATCATGTCATAGAAGTAGACTTAAATGCAGTACAAGAAAGTGAAAAGGTAAAGTCCTGAGTCAGGATATTACATTTTATTAGTTTTAAATCATTTGAGTCATGATTTTAACCCTGCTCTTCCTTAATTACTGTGGTGATATGAGTCAGTGATTCTTAGACGAGGGTCCATGAAACATTGTGGGGAAAAAAACCTGTTGCTGTATTGTTGCAGGATAGGTGTGTGCAGTTGGTTGCTCAATGGTAGAAATGCTGCACACCAGGTAACTTGTCAGCAATGTTCAGCACAGACAGGCTGGTAAGCAGCAGAGAAGGAAGAAGGAAAGAAAACCTGAAACACTTCACAGCTGTGCAGTAAATAGATAAGCAGTAGAGAGTTACACCTGAAGTGGTACCAATGTTCTCAACAGAAACTACAAAGCCTTTTGCCATTCCAGGAAGAGGAGGCGGATGATATGATTTGATGCAGGCACGTTGTTGAACCTTTCAACTGAGAGAAATGCTTGAGAGGATCCATTACGATCAGCTGTGAGTGGCTGTTTTAGTCCATGCAGATGCATGATTGGTATTACGTGGCATTGATTCTGTTTCTAATGATCAGAAAGGAATTTTTAAATATCAGTTTTCATTTTCTCTTGCTTAGCATCTTTAGGTAATGCTGACTAATTTGTGATAAGAAGGTAGGATTTATGTGCAGGAGTAGGCCAGTCGCCCTTTGAGCCTACTATGTCATTTGATAAGATCATAGCTGATTCTAATAAAAACCAAAAGAACTGCAGATGCTGTGAATCAGGAATAAAAACAAAGTTGCTGGAAAAGAACAGAACAGTCACCGAACCCAAAGCGTTAACTCTGTTTTTTCCTTCACAGAAGCTGCCAGACCTGCCGAGCTTTTCCAGCAACTTTGTTTTTATTCATAGCTGGTTCTAGTTGTGGTCTTGATTCCATTTTCCTGTCTGCTCCGTGACAACAGTCCACGTCCCTTGTCTATCAAAAATCTAATTCAACTCTGAGTAAATTTAATGACCCAGTCTCCTGCTTTCTGGGGATGAGAATTCCAAAAATTAATGACCTGCCGAGGAAAGAAAAATCCTAATCTCCATTTTAAACGGGAGACTTCTTATTTTTAACTTATCTAGTCACCCCCATAAGAAGAAATATCTTCCCAAAATCCACCCTACCAAGTTCCCTCAAGATCTTAGTTGTTCTGATAAGATCGCCTATCACTCTCCAAAACTCCATCGGGTATCGGCCCAATCTGTTTAACCTGTCTTTTTAAGATCGACGCTTTATCCAAGAGTAAGTCACGTGAAATGCTTCTAAAACAATTATATCCCTTTGCAAATAAGGAACTAAACCTGTATACAGTACTCAAGATGTGGTCTCTCAAAAGCCTGTATAGAGGCAGTAAAATGTCTCTGTTTATATTCCATTCCCCTTGCAATAAATGCCAAAGGCAACAATTGCCAATATCTTGCTGTTTCCTTTGACTTGCTCTTTCTCTGTTGCCTCTCCAAATCTTTGAGGGTCAATATGCTCTTTTTTTTGCCTCCAATCTTCTAAACCCATTATGCTTCGTAGTTTTTGTGAAGTGCTTAAGGCACACAACTAGTAGGACCTGGGTTGAGGCTGTCCAAGCGTTTATGGTTACTTGAAAAAGAGACCTTCACTGTAGTTTGGGCTGCCTTTCAAGGCAGGCCTCGGAAGTTAAAGGTTAGTGTGACTAACCACTACTGCGCCTCTTTCCATCTCTTATTTCCTTCATGCTAAAATTTCTTTTTGGTTCAAACACAGGTTGAGAGTCTTTGAAAGATTAATGGAAAATATTTCATCTTAATATACACAGTGCTTGATTTTTGTGTCTCTTTCCAGTACACAGTTGAAGTTCCAGGAGTTACAATCATGCGACAGTCTAACCGCTTCTTCTTTTGTGGCCATACATCAGGAAAGGTATTTATACTGAATGTATTGAACTTGACACAAGAATTTGTAGTAGTAGGGAAAGGACACTAGGTGGAACATATATTATTCCCATCATCTCGGTATATCCCTCAATCCCTTTTTGCTCCATTAATAAATTCAACCTGTTGATGCTGTATGTTTCTGTGGCCTTTGTTAGTAATTAATTCTACTGGCCTATTAGCCTCGTCCATGTGAAATTCTGTCCTCTATGAATTATTCAACATGACTTAATTTCTTACTGCTAACTCTCTTCCTACTAGTTTCGAATTTACACAATGAGGATTTGATATCAAGGAATGACTTCAAGGCTATAATTGTATCCCAACAGCTTTTAACCATCATTTGAACCCTTACATCTTTGTAGTTTCTAGTTTTTGCAACATTTATTTTCTAAAATCCCATGATTTTGATTGCTGAGAGACAAATTATCAGGAAAGGCTTTCTAATGAATTCTAAAGTTATTTTAATGAACCTGTTTCGAAATATTATGACATGCCTCTGTGGGAGGTAGGACTTGAACCCAGATATCTGCACGGGGTAGGTACGCTGTACCAGAAGACCCTTTTCTCTGATCAATTCTATAGTAATATTTTTGTCGTTCAGAATATTGATTGCTTTATTTATGAAATGTGGATTTCCCACAGATATCTTGCCTGAGTTCAGTTACTTTTTGAAGGAAGGATCGACATTTTCAAAATGTTTCTTCTTTGGAGACCTGAGAAAACCCTAAAACGTTACTATCCTTGCCCCTGGAAACTGCATTTTAGTTTGGATCTGGCAGTCAACAGTGTGGGGATTACCTACGAATGTTGAGTTGTTTGGAAAGTTCTGCTGAACTAAATCAGGCATGAGCTCACTTCAGATAATTTCAACGTAAATTTTACTGGAAAGTCAAAAAGATTGCTGTGTTTAGATATTATAAAAATTTATGTTTTGTTTACCTAGGAAAGCATTTAGCTATCTTGCCATGGCGCTCTCATTTTCCCTGTGCTGTCCCAGCTAATTCAACACTCACCAGGAACTGAATTTGGAACATTGCCAAATCTCTTTGACAACATCATCCAGTTCTCAAACAATCAGTCACTTGTCTTTTACCTTTGGGTCCTGGTTTTAAAACCAGCCCAGTTTAGGAATAGGGTAGTTTCTGCTGGCTTTAAGGGTACTGCATAACCAGTTTGGATAGTGTCCAAGCAATTCCTAATGGCAATAAGACGATGGATGTTTCACAATATTTGGCATCTCAAGCAGAGACCACAGGACTGCTTGTCTGGGATATGAAAAACATTACACTAGTTCAATCAAGAGCACTTCTTAGTTTAGGCCTGAATAGAGGAAGATTTGCTCTGATCTGGCAGCATTGTCCCTGAACTGGTAGTGCTTGATGCCTGAAATGGAAAGAATTCCCCAGCACTGACATATTCCTCTTTGAACACAAAAAAACAAAATCTCTGTCCATCTAATGGCCAGAATGTCCATTAAAGCACCACTGGGGTATATTATATGAGTCTCCATCTCTTGTGCTTGTTTGCTTTAAAATATGTTAGACATTTTCTAATCTGCCTGCCACTATGCTACTTAATTGTAGTGAAGGGGGCTTCACAAGTGATCCTATTCACATCTTGCATCAAAACACATGCATTTTCAATCGGAGTCATTGCTTCATGATCGAGCATGTAAACCCTGCTGGATTCATCTCCACCCCATCCCCCTCCCTCAGTGCTTGTTTGAAACACTTGTAGGGAGCAAATGTAACTTTGGTATTTTCTCGAGTTGAGTCTCATGTAATTTAGTGGTTTTATAATTTGAAATAATTCAGTGAGGTAGCAGCTCCAAAATCACAAGTACATTCAGGGCAAGTGGTTACAGCTGCCAATGGAGAAGTGAGGCTTTTTCAGAATTTTACAGCAGAAGCAGAACTGAAATAGTCTTAAGAAAATAGGAAGAACAAATTAGTGTTGTCAACTGTTGGAATTGATAGCTTTCCTCCCACAAAGACCATAATGGTAGATCAAGTTGAACTTGTTTTCTTCCCAAATTTCCCCTCTTTCTCCCCATCTCAGGGTGGTTTAAGGATGTGGGCACCCTACCTGAGACGATTCTTCTGTTTGAGCTGAAGTCCTGAGTGTTGGCAGATTGATGGGAAGGAAGCATTGCAGCTAAGTCTAATCCTGTGTTCCAATGTCAACAAAATGTGCATACGTCCAGCAGAGGTTATTGGATATTGATTAGGGTGCCCTAGATGTATCATTTCCCCACTCTCACCTCTCCTCTGGCAACCCACAAATAGTAAGATTAATTTAGAGTATCCCTCCTGCTCTGTGGCAAGAGTTGAACCTGGAATTTTCCTAGACTGTGACAGTACCAGAGTGGCAGCATGTTCATTAGCTGAATCATTGAAGTAAAGCACGCAACTTGCTTTTGTTATGTTGTAATTTTCTTCTGTTTTTAGGTATCCCTCCGAGATTTGAGAAGTTTTAAATTGGAGCATGAATTTGATGCTTACTCTGGAAGCCTCTCTGATTTTGATGTACATGGAAACCTGTTGGTAACATGCGGCTTTTCAAATCGAATGAATGGCTTGTCATGTGACAGATTCTTGATGGTGTATGATCTCCGAATGATGCGGGCAATCAGCCCATTGCAGGTTCATGTGGATCCTCTTTTCCTGAGATTTATTCCTACATACACATCAAGACTGGCCATCATCTCTCAATCAGGTACCATTCAGAAGGCCAGAGTTATAACAGAACATCGAAATCCATAAACTTTATTAGTTTATGATGTTGCTTGTAGTATGTTGGACGATATGTTGTCCCAAAATGACAGGAGTATTATACCATGTAAGGCACAGGTCATTAATCTACTGCTGCAGGGTCAGCTAGAGGTTAATTGTTGGGGAAAATTTGTTTTCGTTTGCAAACCTTGTACTTCCCCAGTTTCTCCCCAAAATGAAGAAATCAGCAGGAAAGAAATCCATTATTTGCTTTAAAAAAAAGTATGACATAAATTTGCATGCGTGATGGATTTATGCCAAAGTTTTTACATGTGGTTTCTGTTATTTAAAACTATTACTTCAAGTACTGCAAAAAATTAAACATCAGCCATAAATGACTGAAGCCTTGCTCCAAATGGTTTTTAATGTTTGCTACATGTTTTATTTTCATTTGGCCAGTGCTATATTTTTCTGTTGAATTCTATTTTTAGTAATTTTTTTTCTGCTCATACAGTTCTGTGTGGGATTAATTTAAAATAAAATTCAAACACTTGATGAAGTTCTGATCCATAATAGTGATAATGTGGCAACATTATAAGAAGGATCAAGATGTGAATGTATTGGGCATGATTAGTAAGTTTGCGAATGATACAAAACTCGGAGATATCGTTGATAGCGAAGGTTATCAAAAATTACAGAGGGATCTTGATCAGATGGGAAGTGGGCTGAGGATTGGCAAATGCAATTCAATACAGATAAGTGTGAGGTGTTGCACTTTGGACAGTCAAACCAAGGTAGGACTTATACAGTAAATGGTAAGGCCCTAAGGAGTGTTGTGGAACAGACGGACCTAGGAGTACAAGTATATAGTTCGTTGAAAGCAGCGTCACAGATAGACATGGTGGTGAAGAAGGCACACACCATGCTGGCCTTCATCAGTCAAGGCATTGAGCATAGGAGTTGGGACATTATGTTACAGTTGTATAAGTTATTGCTGAGGCTGCATTTAGACTATTATGTACAGTTTTGGTCACCTTGTTATAGGAAAGACAATAGTTAAAATGGAAGGTGTGCAGAGAAGATTTACGAGGATGTTGCCAGGACCAGTAGGCCTGAGTTATAGGGAGAGGTTGGCCAGGATAGGACTTTATTTTTTGGAACATAAGAGAATGAGGGGTGACCTTATTGAGGTGTATAAGATCATGAGGGGCATAGACAGGATGAATGCATAGTCTTTTTCTCAGGGATGAGGAATTGAAAACTAAAGGACATAGGTTTAAGGTGAGAGGGGAAAGATTTAAAAAGGACTTGAGGGGCAACTTCTTTACACAAAGAGTGGTGTGTTTCTGGAATGGGCTGCCAGAGAAAGTGGTTGAGGCAGGTACAATAGCAATGTTTAAAAAACATTTGGATTGGTAGATGGATGGGAAGGGATTAGAAGGATATGGACCAAATGCGTGTAATTGGGACTTGCTGAGTGGGCACCACGGTCAGCATGGACCAATTTGGGCTGAAGGGCCTGTTTCCATGCTGTATTACTTTATGACTCTCTAAAAAAAGCCAGCAAAAATCAGAAAGGACAAGGTGAAATGTTAATATTTGAAGTTGTTTGTGTTGTAAACTAGAAAACCTTTGGTAATATATTAAAAGCTTTAATATGTTGATATTTATGGTAGGCTGGAGCACTGCTGTTTGGACTTGACATTGTGAATGTCTTGCAGTGTGCTCTCAGCAATCTGACAAGCTCTCAGATTGCCTGTTAATCCTAAAGCTAACCGCATCCTAACACAAACTGCTTCTGGCAAATGCCACTGTTGTAGAAACTATTGGTGAGATATCTAGTATCCAGAGTATGGACTTAAAACAGCCAGCATGCTAGTATGTCTGGCAAAATATCTTGTTCAAGCCACAGTTTGTTGTAGTTATCTTTGTTCTTTGTTCTTTTGCAGGGCAATGCCAGTTTTGTGAACCAACAGGCCTTGCAAGCCCAGCAGATATTTTCCACATTAACACTGTAGGACAGTTAGTCATGACATTTGATGTATCTTCTAGCAAGCAAGCTTTGGTGTTTGGAGACTCTGGAGGATGTGTACATCTATGGGCAGACTCACCAGATGCCACGTTTAATGCCTACTCTCGTGAGACAGAGTTTCCAATGCCATGCATGGTAGATACTCTACCACACCTAGATTGGAACGATGATCTTTTGCCTTTATCGCTCATTCCCGTCCCTCTTATTACTGAATCTCTATTGTCTGACTGGCCAACAGCAAACTGTAGTGTTACGCCCAGGTAACTGAAAGTTTATCTTTGGACGCTTATAAATGCACACTGAAGTACACAAATGCAAGTTTTCTTAAATTGCTTGTATGTGTTTTTGTTGTCCAAAAGCATCTAATGTGTTGCTACTTTTTCACCACATTTAACTTTGGATGCTCATTTCCCCCCCCTTTTCTCAGCAATCCCTCATGTTAATAACTTCCAACTAAAGTCTCGTTCCTTTCATTGGTAATATTCTTCATTTCTCCAAGTGGATGCCATTTGGCAGTCAGAAATGCAATTTGACACTAACAATTTGACTCCTCTATGTCCCCTACAATCGTTTCTATTTCTCATGTTTCTCTGTTTACAGGCGATACCAGTCTCCTGTGTTTAGATAATAACATCGGAAACCATCACATATGACGATTAATTCTCAAATTGACCTACTTGCGTGACTTTCTTAACCAACAACATGCACTAAATTCTGTGCTCTCCCTCTAAGTGTTAGTAGTATTACCTGATAAGTCACAAATTGAAGTAATGTCAAACAGCATACATTGATTTCTTATTCTGAGTGTGTTTACCATTCCTTTTTGGGTATTTTGAGCCATATGCCTTATCCTTCAAGAAGAGCCTGACACTCGTTTACTCCTTGTCCCTGTTATTATGTAACCCATAATCAGAAAGTATATGAGAGGACATTTCTGTGAATTCCCTGTTTATGATCAAGAAAAAAAAGTTGATAACACTACCCTCCCCACTCCTTGACTTGCTAGATTAGAAACACAGTTGCGGAATTGTGGGTGAAACTACAGCCTGTCACAGTGACAAACTTGTTGTACCAAATGTGCAAGGCCACTAGATTATATGTTCAATCTCTTCTTAAATTTGATAACAAATGTTGGCATCGTATGAGGAGATGAAGTATGTTAGAATTGATTTGGTTCTGATGATGCAGTCTTACTGTGGTTTATGCTAATACTATAATAAAGATACACAAAAGACCCAGATTTCCCATTTGCAACACTCAAATCTTACCGTGTGGCCAGTGCTGTATCAGATCTTATTACTTGTTTCCTTTTATTTCCTGACTACTTGTTCATGTTTTACGTTTGGATGAGCATTATGATAGGGGAAATCTTTGTGGCATGATATTGCTACGGTACATTAGATATACAATTTATGATTATTATAATTTCTGGAAAGAAGCCTAAAGCAAGCAGAAATATATTATAGTCTGGTATTTTAGAATGTCCCAATGTACGCAATCTTCTTTGAGAGATATAGTTCACTTTGAAGGTCTGGCAATTCTCCAGTAACTGAAAGTGGCCACTTAGTCTGCTTTAGATTAATTACCCTTGTGATTATTTTGTTTCAGACGAGCTCCACCTGTCGATCTTGAGATACTGCGTACTATGAAGAAAGTTGGGTTTATTGGATATGCACCAAATCCCAAAACAAAGCTGAGAAATCAGGTAAAAAAAATCTTTTATTCTGTAATGTAATTAAATGGTGTGCTTACTTGTGACCTTAACTAAATAAATGTTTTGGTACAGGATGGAACACCGAACATGCAAAGAGTTATTATTGTTAAGCACCTTATTTGGAAAAGTATTGGCTAGATGAACTTCTTTTATATAAAAACAAATCTCATTTTTGGGAAGAATATTAATGAGCTTCCCTGATGATTCACTCAGTAAAGGCAACATTAGTGAGCTATACATAAGAAGTAGGAACAGGAGTAGGCCTTTCGGTCCCTCAAGCCTGCCCTGCCATTCTATAAACTCATGGCTGATCTGCCCCAGACCTCAGATCCTCATAGCCTTTACCTCCCCTATATTTCAAAAATACATCTACTTCCTCTTTAAATAATGCATTGATCTTGCCTCCATAACTCTTTGGGGTAGGCAAGTCCACATTCTCACTACCCTCTAGGAGAAGAAATTACTTTGCATCTCAGCTTTAAATGAGCATCCCCTTATTCTGTAACTATGTCACCTTCTTTGAGATTCCGCCAATAGTGGAAACATAGAACAGTACAGTACAGGAATAGGCCCTTTGTCTCACCATGAAAGTGCTGACCATAATGCCATTCTAACTAATCCCATCGGAATGCACATGGCCTGTATCTCTCTGTTCCTTGTCTGTTCATGTGTCTGTCTAAATGCTTCTTAAACGTTGCTATTGCATCTGCTTCAACCACCTTCACAGGCAGCATGTTCCAGGCACCTACCATCCTCTGTAAAAAAAAAAACTTAGCTTGCAAATCTCCTTTGAGCCTTTCCCCTCGCACCTTAAACGTATGCCCTCTCATATTTGACATTTCCACTCTGAGGAAAAAGACTCCAACTATCCACCCTATCCATGCCTCTCATAATTTTATATATTTCTATCGTGTTGCCCCCCCAACATCCTACGCTCTAATGAAAATAATTCAAGTTTGTCCAACCTGTCCTTATAGCCAATAGACTCCAATCCAGGCAACATCCTGGTAAACCTCTTTTGCACCCTCACCAAAGCCTCCACATCATGGGTGGGATGCTCTTTGGAGGATTCGTGCCGACTTGATGGGCTGAATGACCTCTAGCTGCACTGTAGGGATTCTATGATCAGCAAATGTGGATACATTACATACTGTCATTAATATAGATAGCAAATAATTGAGGCCCAAGGATTGATCCTTGTGGCACTTCACTAGTTACATATTTCCAACCTGAAAAAGACCCAGTAATCCCATCTACTGGTCCCCCTTTTCCAACTCTGTTTGTTATATCCTCAAAGAACTCTAGCAAGTTTGTCAAACACAATTTTGCTTTAACAAAACCATGTTGACTTTGTTAGATTTCATTGAGCTTTTCTATATGTCCTGCTATTTCTTAATGAATTCTAGCATTTTCCCAACAACAGATGTTAGCCTATAATTTCCTCCTTTCTACTTCCTTTCCCTTTTGAACAGGGGCATCATATTATCAGTTTTCCAATCTGCTGGAACCCTCCCATACTCCAGTGATTTCTGGAAGATTTCAACGAATGCCTCCAGTATCTCTGCAGCCATTTAATTTCAAACCCTTGGATGCAGGCAATCAAGTCCTGGCAGCCTGCATCTCTTTAATCCCTTTAGTTGGCCAAATACGTTGTCCCTCATCATAGAAACTGTTACAAGATCTTTTATCCCATTAGCATCTTACTTATCTGTTAAGCTTATAGTGTCTTGCACCATGAAGACCAATGCAAATTATTGGTTTGAATTATCTGCCATTTTCCAATGTTATTAATTCTCCAGTTGCATTCTCCAAGGGTGCCATGTTTACTTTAGCTACTTTCCTTTTATATGCATGTAGAAGCTATTGCTGTTTGTTTTTATATTTTTTGCCAATTTTCTAGCATTTTCAGTTTTCTCCCTCTATTAGCTTTTTCGTCATCTGCCAGTAGTTTCCAAAGCATTCCAAATCCTCTGGTCTACTGCTAGTTTTTGCTGCTTTACATGCCTTAATTTTGATTGGATATTCTCTTTGATCACCTTTGTTAATCACAAGTTGCTCATTCTTCTCATCAAATCCTTCTTTTTGACTGGAATAAATTTTTGCTGAGTATTATGAAATATCTGCATAAATGTCTGCCACTGCTCATCCACTAATTTCCTGTTAGTCTATTTTCCTGACTTGCTTTAGACAACACTTTCTTCATACCTCTCTAATGGCCCTTATTTAAGTTGAGGACGTTAGTTTGAGACCCGAATTGCTCTCCCTCAAACTGAATGTAAAATTCTACCATGTGTGATTGCTACCCTCTAGAGCATCCTTAACTATGAGATCCCTTATTAATCCTATCTCATTACACATTAGTAGATCCAACAAAGCCTGTTCCTGGGTAGGTTGTGCTGTGCAATGCACTGCCCTAGGAAAGAAGCCCTGATGCACTTTGGAAATTCCTCTTCCATGTTACTCTTGCCCACCTGATCTGTCCAGTCAACATGGAGATTAACATTTCCCATGATAATTGTAGTGCTCATGTTCATCTCCATCACTTCCCGATTTGTCCTAGATACTTTGTCCTAGAGTGATGCAGCTGTTCAGGGGCCTGTAGATGACTGCCACCTGTGACTTCTTTCCTTTGCTATTCCTTATTTCTTTCCAAACCGATTCCACATCATGATCTGTTGCATCTATATCACTACTTGCCACCACTCTTTATTATCAACCCTCTCCTACCTCCTTTTCCTTTTTCCCTATTCTTCTGGAACATTAAATACCCTTGAATATTGAGTTCCTAGTTTTAGTCACCCTACAATCATATCTCTAAAGCTATCAAGTCATATTCATTTATTTCTGTTTGTGCTGAATGCTGCATGCATTCAGATAAAGAGCCTTAAGCTTTCTCATTTTACCATTATTACTTATTCTCGTTCTAATTTCTGCATCCTTCTGCCTGTATTTTCTACCCCTTCCTGTGACACTTTGATTTATTATTCACCTCTTCCCTACCCTGCACCTCTTGATTTTTTAAACTCCATTTCAGTTGAACGTTCCCCATCCACCCTCCCCCAATTAGCCCTATTCATACTAAAAGTACTTGATTCGTTTCCTGAGGCAACACAGTTTGGAGTGGA